CGACCAGCGTACCGAGCAATTTGTTTAATAGTCACAACTTCAGCCTGGGATGCATTATAAAGGAGGATGAGGTCTTTCTTTTCATAATGAGGTTTGGGTAGGACTTGAACTAAGTCAAATTGTCGAGCGACAAGAGTGAGCTGATAAGCAATCAAGGTAACCAAACTCTTTGAAAGATTGAATATGAGGGTTAAAACCCTGGGAGTCAGGAAAGCTTCCCAGATTGCAATGGACTCTGCTTCTTGGGCTTTCGACGAAGCTGGAAATGGCCAGGTAAACCATTAAGGACCATATTTTCTTGCAGCAAAGGGGGCCATGTTGGATGAGAAGTCGTATTGTTTGCAAACATCGTGATATAGCTAGTGAAGGTTTGTTGAATAGGCCGACCATCATCGCTAGGAGTTAATTTGGCCAAACGTGGACCTTCAACTATCCTATTCTTCACTTCATCAGCATCTTCATTGATCGGATTTTTGTAAAGAAGGCAAGCTTCAAATGAAGCATTTAGCCACAATTATTGAAGCCAAAAAGGCCCAGAGAGGAGGAGATTCCCTTTGTCCTCTAGGCTTTTAAGTTGGGTAACACCTTCACTCATTGATTCATAAAGGCTGGCCAAGATCAGTTCACTTAAACATATATTATGGTTGGAGTGGAGTTGGTTCGCCATGGTTAAGAATTTCCTGGCTACTTGAAGCGACTTTGAACAGAAGACGCAAAGAGACAACCATAACACTAAGAAGCCAATATGCTCTACGTCAAATACCTCCTCTACATCTTTGTCGTGGTAATGTGTTATGTGGGTCGAATATATTGCCCTAAAAGTTGCAAAGCTTATGCTATCCTCATACATGTAGTCAGGGTCATATATGTTGTCAGTCAGTTTTAGCCCTATGATAGCGGCTACGTCGAACAAGGTGGGGGTCATCATTCCACAAGGAAGATGGAGAGTGTAATGAGTGTTGTCCAAAAAGTATAAGGAAGAGACAGGCATGTTCCAACAATAGTCAGGGCCTATTTTTGACAGCATGATCAAATAAAAAATGGCCATGTCTTTCCAGGTTTGATACTTTATTTTCTCTAATTTATCTAGCCATCCTACATAATCAGAGGGATCCTTAAAAGACGGGCTTGCCCGAAATACCTAAAATTATTCATGTACCTAAGTTCAATTGCCTATTTAGTCGGAGGATTGCTCTGATTAGTGTGATTGGGGTCCTCATTACTAGCCTTAGGTTTTTTAGCATGACCTATGGGTTTGTGTTTATGATAAGTTGGAAAGAAATCCTTAAGTTTGTTGAGATCAGCATTAACATCAGATAAAGGATCAAATAAAGTCAAAGGCTTGCCAGCAACAGTGAGAGGAATAAGTACCTGTGAGTCATAAATTCTTCTCTTTTCCTCAACAAGTGGTTCAGGTAGATATTGTTGATTTCCCACCATAGTTAGACCAGTGATTGTATCAAATAGAGGAAGCTGAGAAATCTTCTTAGAAACCTTCACAGGCTTAGTGGATTTCTTAGTAGCTTTAGTGACATCTTTGATGGATCGGGTTGATAAAGCCATTGTTGAAATATGAATAATTGGGTTCTTTGAAGGAAAAGAAGGGTGTGAAGATGAGAGTTCAGAAAATGTAAAAAGTGGAAAGAAATGAGAAATGGAGTATTTATAAGGATGGAAGTGGAAACAATTCTAAAGCGATATTAATGGTTAAAATTGGAGTGGGACACGTGTTCTACCTAATATCCTTGATGAAACGGTGGCAGTTAATGTCTAGCCCCATGATCTCTTAGGGTCTAGGATATGTGATGATGACAAAGATTCTCACGTGGGTTGAGGGAACGTTTCAGAAAAGTGTAATCATGACCATGACGTCATAGGCGTACTATAGAACGAGAACAGTTTTATAACATTAACTCATCAGAAATGTCGAATCGCATATGGATCATTTAAGGCGTCGAATAAGACTATCAAAGAATGTCTTTTTCTTCAACGCTGTCGAAAATGACATATTTAGGAGGGGAATTTGTTAGCTCCAAAATTCGAACCTAGTTTTGATTAATGGAAACAATAAAGAAAAAAACAATTTATATGAAGTTGTGAAAAACTTCGCCAAAATTGTGAAACTTGTTTGTTTTGGGCAAAACCACCTTTTATAAAGGAGGATATGCTGAATAGATTTGCAAAATATTCTAAGTCTTGGAAGTTGGTTCGACAGAGAATTGCTGACGGTGTTTCGACATAAGATTTGAATTCAAATAAAGGAGAGAACTTTGTTCTTATCCAGTTTTCTGAAGGAGACACGTGGAACATTTTCGAGGAAAGAAGACATGTCGAGCGCCACTTGTCTTATTTTTGTAGGAAGGCTGTTAGGGGCAGTTATTTTCGATCATTACAAATAGGAAGTCCTAGCGTTAGGATTGATGTCTTAAAAGTTATACAAAATCTCTAGAATTACTCAAAGCACCCGTGTGCAGAGAAAATAATATGTCGAGAAAATCTACGTTGACAAAACACCATATCTTTACAATTTAATTCAAATTTTATCTTTTTACCACAAGTTTATCTTCTTTATTGCCCAAGTTATTTTTGACGTATTTACTCGTTTCTTTTATTAAGTTCCTGAAATTTACTTCTTTTAAATTTTAAAGTTGTTAACTGTTAGATCATGAGTATTGTAGAAGTATTCGCCATTTTCCAAACTTTAATTTAAGATTTACTAGCACATGTCCTAGGATTAGTATGGTCGATCCTGTAAGTAACCAAATTCTTTTTCGATTTGGAAGACCAACAGTTGTTTACTAATTTTCACGGTAAACAAAGTCTAAATAAATCAGATCAACAAAAGGATTTGACTTTCTTTTGGAAGAGAAACAAAAGAAGGGGTTAGACTAACATTCTGGATAAGGTAAGTGGAGGCTACTAAAAGAGTACCCTTTCTAGAATGCTTCAAAACTCATATCTCGCTCAAGGAATAAAGTGACACCTCTAAAGAGAGATAAAAGTTAGTCAAACATAGGAAGCCCTCTAAGAAATAATGGTACATGCCACCTAAAATCCCAAGTATAAACCCCAACAACCACCAAGCCAAACTCTCCCACCTTCATGCTAAAGAGAACTAGAGAACAAACCATGAAACATTGTCTTTAAGGAGACATTCACTATCCAATGGTTCTTCCAAATGAAGTTTGGAATTTCGTGCTTACTTTCCTAATAACATCATTAGCAAATCAATCATAATTATCCTTCTCTTTAGACCCGAGGAAAGACACCCCTTTACACACTAAGAAAGGAAAAACGAAATTCCTCAATTTTTTTCCTATGAAAAGACAAAACCACTATAATTTTATATTAATTATGTTTTCAAATCTTTTAAATATTGTGCGTCTTTTCTTTCCTTATTTGAAAAGCAAAGACACATGCCAGTCTTGTGCGTTGCCTCTTGGTGTCGTTTTGTATATAATATAGTAAAAAATAAAAGGCTTAATTGCAACTTTGATCCTTCTATTTTGTCTTTTTTTTAGTTTTGGTCCCTTCATTTAAAAAACTACTATTTTAGTCTCTTTTTTAAGTTTTGTGTTTGATTTTAGTCCCCTCTTCAATTTGGGAATTATTTTTAATGATGTGGCACTAGTTTGTTGATGTGGTAAATCCAAATCATTTTAAAATTAATTTAAATTCTTTTTTAATAATAATAATAATATATTAATAAAATCAATTTAGAAGAAAATTAATGTGAAAATGTCCAAATTAATAAACGCAAACAAGAATATAATAATAAAATCAACTTCAGAATACACTAATAAAATCAACTTAAAAATATAATAATAACTTAATCAAACATAAACAAACCCCAGTACTCTAACATTAAAATTAACATGAAAACGTATTTTCCCCTTTATTCTCTCCGTAATCAATCTAGATGAAAAACTCCAACAATATCAAATCTCTAAATTAGCAAATCTGCCCATTGAACTCTAGATTTTCTTTATTCTCCAAGCATAAACCATTGAAATGAATCATTCCAAATCCATCTACTCACATCATCTCCGGAGTGAAATTTAGGGTTTCAATTTCAATTTCAAATAGAATGAAATTGTTGTTATTATTATTGAAGTTCTAGAGAAACCCAATTTTTTTTCATTTGCATTTTATTTCTCTAATAAAATTGGGTTTCCTGTGCGGGTGGTACTAGAAAGTGAAAAGGAAACCAAAAATTTTGGAAAGGATGGATGAGTTTTTCTCTCACACTTTCTGAAGATTTTGGAAAAGATGAAAATAGAATGATTTGATTTATGAAAATTTGTGAAAAAATATGAAAATGTGAAATTGACATGGCATGACAATTTGGATAAATCATGAAGATTTGATTTTATCACGGGTTCTATTTTTGTGTTTTTAATATTGTTGCAGGTTTTATAGCATAACAATTTGAGGAAGAAGTTACAATGATGAAGTTAGGATTTTAAAATAGGGGAAGGAGATAAGAATTTGAAAATTTGATATTATTAATTAAACATGTTATTGTTAATATTATTATTAATAAATTATTTTTTTAATATCATTAACATAATTTTAAACTTAAATAAATGACATGGAATAAAATTCGGTAAAGGTGGCAACACGTCATCATGTTCAGTGTCATGTCACTAAAATTAGAAGGAGACTACAATCAAATACAAAATTTAAAAAAGAGATCAAAATCGTAATTTTTAAAATAGGGGATCAAAATTCAAAAAAATACAAAATAGAAGGACTAAAATTGCAATTAAGGGAAATTAAAAACAAAATTTAATAATTTACCAATGACTAAAATCAAATATACAACTCTCAAATATATATAGGTAAATATACAACTCTCAAATTTATATAGGTACTATTGTGTCAAAACCTGTCGTTTAAAGAACGATATTGTCGTTTAAGCAATTCCTCGGAGGCTCAAAGCACTATCGGTGAATTTGGTTTTGAGTCGAATTTAATTCCTGAGAAGGAAGCGAAAAAAAATGGGAGAATCAAACCAAGCCACCAACATCCATGACGATTTACTACTCAAAAATTTCTTCGCCGAAGTCAGCGAAGTTGAGAGAGACAACGAAGTCCTTAGGTATCTTTGTTTTCCGCTTTCTCATTTTTTCCTATATCTTTTTCTCGCTACATGTATTATTCGTTATGAGTTGATTAGGGTTTTGTTGATTGCATCTCACGGAGAATTTCTCGTATTTTTTGTAGTATTTGATTTGATGTTCGTATATGTATGGTTTTAATTGCAAAATTATGCAGAAAATAAGAAATTAGGTTACTTTATGCATTGTGATGATCAAGGTTCGTTTTTTTATTTATTTTTATAACAGGATTCTTGCTTGTTTTAAGTTGAATCCATTTGAGCATCTAAACCTATCATTTGATTCATCAATCGATGAAGTGAAAAAGCAGTACAGAAAGGTGACTTTTTTCTCTACAGCTGAGGGTTGTTTGTTTGTTTGTTTCAGTTAACTGTTTTGTTGGTCTCTTATGACATTCTCTTTGGGTATTATTTTTTTTTTTGTAGATATCATTGATGGTTCATCCTGACAAATGTAAACATCCACAAGCAAAGGAGGCTTTTGGAGGTAAATTAAGAAATGTTTGATAATTGTTCTAAATGGATGGAACCGTACATGTTGTTTTTGTCATTGTTTATTACTTGTTTCTTTTAACTTTATTTAGTTACCACTATTGTTTAGCAAATTAGTTTTTTGACAAACTAGCTCGAGTCCGGAAACTTGTTATTGTATTTTTGATATCCCGAGTAAATATGTCCATAAATTGAAACTTATGATGCAATGAAGTTAACTGTAAAAGTGGGGATTCAGTAAGGGATGAACTAGTTTGAGAATCTTATTTAGACAGAAAAATCTGGTAGATTGGGAGAGATCCTTCTTTCCCCGGCATAAATAGTGAAAGATAATTTTCAAAAGTTCAACTAGTTGTGTATAGGTGCCCTCATTGTTCCTCTCAGATAGTTTTATAAAGAGTTGCATCAGATAGTTCTACAGTAAATTGTTTGTCCGGTATTACAGACTGATTTGATTACTTTTTCATGTTGTCATCTTTATTCGGCCTCAACTTGACCAATCCAGTGATATGTTGGTTACATATATGATATCTAAGAAGGAAATCTACATAATCTACGTATGGCATTTTATACAAGTGTTATTTTGGCTGAAATGTACATTGTTGGGTGCAATTGCAATCCCAGAGCATTGGGATGTAGGATCCTGTTTTTAACTCTTTGCTTGTTTGTAATTTTTTTTAATGTTTGTTGTGTTATTTACTTTAATGCAGCACTAGCAAAAGCCCAACAATTATTACTCGATGAAAATGAAAGAGATTATCTTCTTAGCCAAGTCAATTCAGCTAAAGGTTAGTGTTTGCTTTTCTTTTATTTTATGCTTGTCTAGTTGTTACATGTCTTACACGGGTTAGGATCTTTCTACTTTTTTTGTGTCTATATCTCTCTCAATGAAACCCTTCCGTATCTTTTGAGAAATGAAGAGGATTCTAACTCGTCTTGATGTGCAAATTCTTTCTACTAAGGATTGCACTCTTACCTTGGAGAAAAGTTGTCACATGACTCTAGTGTTTTATTAACCTGGTTAACTATTTTTATCAATCTAATGGTCAAAAAATTTCCTCATTATTTTCCCAAATGCTTATAAGATTGTGATACTGTCTCGTATATGAGGATGAATTTTGTGACTTAATCTTGAGGTTGAAAGTTTCTTGTTCTTACATATGTATACAGTATACATCCTATGGGGGTAGTTCATCAAAGTGTTTTAAACTTGAAACCTATAATCTTTTACTTTGGATTAAAAAAATTCTGTTATTACAACATCATTGTCCTTATATCCTTCTCCTTTTTTTGGACTTCCATTTGTATAGAAGAAATATCTTCTTTCTGTGATATCAAGGACATATGTAAATAAAATAACTAATTTTTCCCATTTATGTGGGCTGCAGAAGAACTTAGAGTAAAGAGAAAGAAACAGCTGAAGAAGGATACGGCCTCAAAAATGAAGTCCTTAGTTGATGAGGTACATATAGTTTTGTTAGGTTTCTCATGGTCACACTTTTAGAATACTTGTCGTGTGAGTATATTTCATTTTGGCTGTTTGAGTCTGTCTTGCATCACCCTTGTGGTCTGATTATGCACAAGCGGTGACATTGCCAGACTTTGATCATGTGGAGTTAGTATATTAGTATCCAAGAGACAATATACCCTTGCTTGTTAAGAACTACTTTGTTTCTTTACCAGGGAAAATATGATAAGCAATATGAACAGTCAGAAGAATTCAAGCAGGAGCTCAAACTCAAAGTTCGTGAACTATTAACCGAAAAAGAATGGAGGAGAAGGAAAATGCAAATGAGGGTATGTTCTAATTACTTCTCACCATCCACTCATACCCGCATTAAATCATTGTTGTTATACTCAGTGAACTCAGTCGTATGTGTTTATGTGCGTTTGAGCCAATTTGATGAATTACAACGTGATAGTTATTTTTCCCATGCACGCCTAAAATGACAGTGATTCACTGCTTCTAAAAAGGACCGGTCTAGTTTGCTAATTTACAAAATATTAAAATTATGTTAATTGTGATTTGCTTTATTATTAATTTAGAACATTTGCTTACCATGCACGTAGATGTTTTTCTTCTCCCGAATTTTGGTATGTTGTCAGAAAGTGCTAGTGTTAAGAAAGTGAGATCATTATGATTTTGTTTATCTGTGTAAAATTTGGCATGAGAAATAACGTACACTCGAGGAATTATTGTTGTGACCTATTAGCTTATTAAATATTATGTAGATATCAGAGGAGGAAGGCAGATTAAAAAAGGACGAAGAGGAACAGAAGGAAATGTGGAAAAGGAAGCGTGAACATGAAGAACAATGGGAAGGAACAAGAGAAAAAAGGGTTAGTTTTTCATATTTGAACTTCATTTTAAACATCAAACTGCAAGCTGTGTTTGAATCTTCAAGTGAATCTTAATTTCATTCTTTTTTTTCCTTTAAATTTGTTCCTATGATATCTATAACTAAGCTACAACGTGTTCAAGAATATGGCCCAATGATATCTGTTTTCTGTGTATTTTGGATATCTGTGATAAAGTTTAGTACTGATCTTGATAGATAGTACACGAGGGTTAATTACGTGGTGAGATTATTTATTCAAAAAAATATTTGAAATGAAGATGCACCATATCAGTCTCACAGAAGAGTCCTTGCAAACTAATATGCTTTTTGTAAAGTTTGCGAAAGCTGATTTCAGTTCTATAATATTCTGACCGAGTCATAGATCCTAATCAAAGTGGTATTATTATGGCCTTAGAATAATAAGCTTGATAACCCTTTTTGTGGGTTCATTGGATTTTCAAACATTTTAATAAATATTATTGAATGGCTTAATCTAGTTGCAATTACACGTAATAAATTTTAGAGGGTGGGTGTTGTTATCTCGTATCTGGTAGTGCCCAACTACCCTGCCAGATGATCAGCCTCTTCAGTCCCTGGGGTAAGGTTGCATACATGTAATCCTCTTCAGACTCTTTAATCGTGTGAGCCTTGTCTATTGAATTGCCTTTTTTAATTCTTGTTGCATTTTAAGCCTATCTTGTCCTTTGCCCACTCAATCTGAACCCAATTATGCAAAAGCATGAGTTTTAAATCGGTTGAGTGTGAGTCTGTTGACTCATGTTTAAAGAGTAAGCTTCGCTGTTTTTAAGGGTTATTAGAGGTTGGTCTGTTTGTATGAATGAAATAGACACAAGAATGAACCCAATAACCATATCCAAGTGTGCCATCAGCCCAATGAGATAGACACAAGAGTGAACCCAATAACCATATCCAAGTGTGCCATCAGCCCAATGAGATAGACACAAGAATGAACCCAATAACCATATCCAAGTGTGCCATCAGCCTCTTTTCTATTGGAGATTCTGTCATCTTATTAGCTTGATTTTTATTTGTTGGTTCTTTTCTACTTCACCAGTCTTTGAATTTTCTTAACTCCTATATCATGCCATAAGTTTCTTAGATACTTCTAAAAACTTGTTCATTTATTCTTTGAATTTGCATAGCAACTATATTTATATTGGTAACATAAAATCAGTTCTGTTTCTCTAGCTTTTCTTATATTGCCTGGAAGGTTGAGAAACTACCCATCAAGTTCTATAAGGGTTGTAAATTTTGCAACCATTTGATTGGTAGTTTACAAACTTTTGATTGGGGAAAGCATCTTGCACATATCTTGCTTTCTGTCTGTTTAATCTACTTTGTATTTATATTAGCTGTATCCACGGTTGATTTTTCTCATGCTTTTTATCAGCGGTTTAAAAGTAATTAAAATGGTACCAAGGACATTCTTTTGTGTATAATACACATTCCTATTAAAAAAAACATATAACAGATGTTATTGGTGTGGAGTATCTTGCTTATCATAAAAAAAATGTCATACCATCAAAATATATAGACGTATTGACACAAGTTTTCATTATCAGGTATCTAGCTGGAGAGATTTTATGAAGGGTGGAAAGAAGGTAAAGATATTAACCTTGCTGCTTTTAGTATCAGCAAGTATTCTTTGGACACACACGTTGGGAACAAAAATAGGATTTTGCTTAACTAAGATTACGTTTTTGTTATGAATGCAGAATAAAAAGGGTGAAATTCGCCCCCCTAAGCTCAAGACAGAAGATCCCAACAAATCCTACGTTCAGAGGCCTGTAAAAAGAGGATAGGGTGATTTTTCATCAGACTATCAATTCAACAGGAATCCAGAGAACTTAATCATGTGCCCTTTGTATCAGTTTGATATTTTAATCATGTTTATATCTTGGGTCATTATAGGCATCTTAATGGAATGTATGCCTCCAACGAATACCCATTTTGGGATGTTTTGCCCTAGTACTGATGCAAAGGAATTATTTATCTGTATTGCCTTATAAATGATTTTTTCTTCAGAACCTGTGTGCAAAACACCATTTATATATAGGCCATCAGCCAAGTAGATAGTTGTTAGACATGTTCATGGAAAACTTTGTTCTGATTAGTTTATAGCCTTACAAATGAAAAACTTGTCTAACTTCTTAGTTTAGATGTGGGTTGTGTTTAAAATACTACTTTCAATTATTATTAATTCTCTCTTTCTAATATATCCATGATGGTTCTTGATTGATTTGTCAAAAAAATGATTGTTCTTTATTTTGGAGTCATAACTTCTGCAAAGTTTCTCATTTGACGCCAAAGTCAAAATCTTTTATCAGAATTCACATTCTTCCTTGGAGAACTTCGATTCACACAAAAATTGATTGTACAAAGATGAAAATTGCACATCAACTATGATACAAGCACCTATAATTATCTCACCATCACTTAAAAAAAACCCATCCTCTTTGATTAATAAAATAAAAAAGAGCCCAACAATAATAATAGCCTAAGGGCGAAAAGTGAATAATGTATATATAATAAGAATCAGAAAAATAGTCAACACTGACAATTCATGATACATAACACAACCTTGACTTCATAACCTACGCTCAATTTACACAGGGTGGGCGGACCCAAACCGCAACTTCAACCTTTGAGAAAGTAAACCTAGCAGCGGCAACCAACTTTGCATGTGAAACTTGTATCTTTCTTTATCAAGGCCTGCTGATTGAGGGGTGAGAACCAGAACTAAGAAAGCAAGCTTTCTGAAGGAATTAAGATCACAGGTTCGGAGACTCCCATAAATGGCATCATGCTATATACAGAACACAAACAAAGCGATAGCACGTGCCAGTCAAGTGAATATTAGGGACATCCTCAGTAGTAGTCACTATATCCAAGCGAGTGAACTCCTCGGTGGTAATCACTATATCCAAGCAAGTGAACCTCGGTCATTGGTAACTGGGGGACGGCCTCTAGTTGGTGTTGGTGGTCTGTTGGCATTCAACTCCTGTACATGATTAACCGTTAATGATGATTTTTAATACCGTGAAATGACAAACTAAAATTGACTTAGATGTGTTGGTTTATATCTGATATCACACAAGTATCACTATTAAATGGAAAATATTTGTATGATTACCTGCATCCATGTATCTTCAATATGCCGTTCTGGTGACGTTTCTGGTGAAGTTATTGCGGGTGGTAATGGATGAATCAGTTTAGGAACCACAACAAGGTCTCTACCCAAAACTAATATTGCTCCTGCATTATTTGCAGTACCTATGGGAACAAGAGGAAGAGTCAAGGTTTAAAAGAGAACATGATCTAAGGACGCACGGTACAAAAGTTGGCATCATATACCACAATAATTTGTAGCAGAGAAAAGTGTGATCAGATGTCCCTGGGCAAAACGCTCAAACCCATCCATCACGCATTCATGTGCTCGGACAATTAGTTGAAGATCATTGTTGTTGCAAAATTCCATCACTCGATCAGGCTGAAGTAGCAAAATCCAATTTAAATGAGCATGAAAACATGAATTAAAAAAAGATTATCAAATAGCACATGTTAAAGTACTATTTAGAGTACACACCATCCAACAAGGCAACTACATGTATGATCTACAATTCAAATAACACCCATTTACAAAGATAGATTTCAAATTAGAGCAAATAATGAGTGACAGCGGTCATGCATTCATCATAGCACTTCCATCAGCATGACTTGTCAGTTTCGCAATCTTCCAAATTAAAATATATACACAAAAGCCAAGATTACAATTCACAAATATACTTCAATTTTCAAGCTTCAATGGATGCATAACATGCATTGCAAGATTATAGACACATTGAAACTACTACTAAGTTATTACATTATTTACAGAATGACAGGTAAGGAGCGCTCACCCCAAAAGTAACTAGTCCAGGACCTCTAGCATTTGGCCGCAGTCCTTCCACACTGTCATTCTCTGTAGGATCAGACCTAGAAAGGAATATTTCATGCTGTTATTATCAGGACATGGAACCATCATAAACAGGCAATGACACACAAATGCACTAACCATAACAGATCCATAAGCACAATTGACCCCGCTTCCATTGGAATTGGTCGCTGAATATTCTCAATTTGTTCTACATGATTTATTGAACGACCAATACCTCCATGCATGCAAATAATCTTCTTCTCAATTAAAGCAGCTAAAGGAAGCCAATTAAATAGCCGGTTAATCCGATGCCACGTCCAAATTCCGTCTCTCTCGCCCTGATGAAGAATTCACATGGTTGGTCGGTGCACCCAACATAAATAAGAAACAGTATCAGGTAGCAGGAATTCCTTACCATCCTCTCGATGCACTCAATTCGAAAACCAAAAAGGGCATTAATATCTGCAGCCTCATGGTTTCCACGTATTAAATGTACATTGTTGGGATATTCAACCTGCAATATTCACAAAATCATGTATAGATATGGGGCCATTAAACCTGCAAATGCAGAAAGACAGCCTAAACAAAAAGTGTACCTTCAGGGCAAGAAGAAGGGTTATAGTTTCCAAGCTGTGCTGTCCTCGATCAACATAATCTCCTAGGAATAGATAATCGATATATCTGAAAGTCATTTATAGCAGAGAAAATCAAATGCCTAAATCACTAGTGTTATAATAGAATTAAGATATGAATTGAGCCAAACATGACCCCACAAGACCCATCTGTAAAGTGAAGGATGCCTCACTTGTAAACACTTTTTCGGTTCATATCACATCCACTATAGGACTTTCAATAAACCCTTTTGTGCTCAAGAATAGACATCTAGAGTGTAACACGAGTAGCCCAATAACGGGCAGCCCAATGGATGGCTCTGATACCATCTTAAAATCTGGGTAGGGCCTAATTCAACCTAACAAAACCAACCTGTAAAGAAAGCGATGCCTCTTACTTATAAACACTTTTTCAAGTCTTATCACATACAATTTGGGAGTCTCGACAAATATCATTGTAGAAACTTTAAGAGTTAGGGCTTGCTTACTAACACAAGAAAATATAATTTGTTAATGACATTTTAAAACCTCTATTTATATTAAAATACACAAAAATTTCTAAATCCTAATCACGCAATAATGATTCATATTTCCAACACTCAGCTGTTTTAACCACCTCTTCTGCTCCATTTGAAGCGATAAACCCTTAAATCATCATAGAAAACTAGGGTATCCAATGCAGACTCTTAGGATTAAGGATAAATACAATTCAGAATATATTAAAAAATACAACAAAAATGCATTATAATTTATACCATCCAATAAAGGAAAATATGTCAAAATCATGCACTTTGGTGCTAACTAGGCATTATGCGAACTGCAAAGACAAGAACATTTTCTTTGAGTAGATTAGGCTGGGATAATTGGTTGAAGAAACAGTATCATGAACAAAATATTGAAAATGAAATGAGATAACTGTAACATGCACATGTGGGATAATCAACCAAAACATTGGTAAGGGGTGAGAACTCAACAGTATCCCAAGGGTAAGAAAATTAATAAAGAAACACAATTGGCCTAAATATAAAAAGTCGGTAGTTGTTTTAATTTGACATCAATAAATCAATAGCTATGCTTCAAATACGCTGAAAAATAACTGAACCAGAAGTTTGCACCAATTGAAAATCGTCCACATTATGCAAACTAGTAGGCAGACACCAAAATAATATCCATTATCCACAAATAAAATCATCAATGGGAAACATGGAACTTACGCAATGTCACCAGCAGTCGATGGTGCGCCATACTCGTCAAAAAGGCGCATGAGATCCCCAAACTGCCCATGCAAATCACCAAATATTTTAATTGGTGCACTTAGTTGTAAGACACTTGGTTCACTTGAAAATATCCGCTCAGCACTATCACAAAGATCAGCAATTTCATTACAATCTAAGAAAAATTGCCGGCGCACTGGTGGTTTCCATCCACGAGGCTTTAAGAGGTGTGCTATGACCTATAAAGGTGGTGAGGGAACTCCATAAGTAACAACTCAAATTATAAGACAAAACAAGCATGCTTTATTAAAATCACAATAAAGCGAACATGGGAATGTGTATATAAAATGCACATAGTGGGTCAACGCAATACAGAAACCCCAAAAATATCAGAAAACTTGATGCAAGATAAAGACAGTAGTGCCACTAAAATGGTCAATAAACATTACCAATAATAAAAATTGTGATATAAATCATGACTTATTACTATGCTGTTCATGTTCAATAACTAATTGTGAAGATGAATCTGCACCTTTTTTGGGACACTATTGATGGACATCTGCCGATCTAATAACTTTCTAGCAGCAGTTGCATTTTCTGGAGTGCCATAACTGACCCGCCTGCCTTCATTTTCAAATTGATCAATTGAAAGCTGTCTAACCATGCCACCTAATGCTCCACCAGTCTCTGCAGCAACAACTACCTGAAGAAAATCGAACACAACAATTTCTTGCGCTTAATATTATATAGAAATTTATGTAAGGCATATTTTTTCCTTGATAAGTAGTAGCATGTATCACTCACAGCTCTATGATGCAGCCGAACTCCACCAGAAACATTGTTATTTGAACCTACAGAATCAGGCTTAATCAGGGAAGATGTGTGTTTCCCACTTGGGGTAGCCTCAGCCCCACGGTCTCTGTCAGGTAATTCCACTTCTCCATTTTCTTGTCGTGCCTTGGCAGCAGCCAGAGCAGCACTAATAGCTTCGGCTTCTGCAGCAGATGCTTCAACCAGATACTCAACTCCTTTGGCAGTTCTACTGTTCAAATTAATTTGAATGAATTCAAAGAAGTAACATTAACTACATCACACAATGAGAATGAAACTTTCTTTCTTACCGAGATCCCTGAAGTATAGCATTTTCAGTGCTGATGTCAGTATAAATGTCACCATTCATTGGGGGTGCAACTGGATTTCCTAATACAACAGAACCATCAGCAGCCATTTCAGTCATTGTTTGCCTGGGCCTATCATCAAATCCATATCGTCCAGGCAAGCGTCCTGCTTGTACATTAGATGCAGCTGCTGCAGCAGCATGTGAAGCAGCAGATGTTGTTTCAGCAGCAGCAAGATCTTCAGCAACAAGTAGGTCATCTAGCAAGACTCCTGCAGCATAAGCACAAAACATTTAGGTCAGCCCATCTGTTGAAGTGATTAAATGGTTAAACCACAACATGAAATCCCAAAGGGAATATTAACAAAAAATCTACAACAGACAACTAATAAACATCATAGATGAAATCAGACACTTAAGCTAGCAAGAAGAGTCAAGAATTTCTGGCATGATGCCTTCTTTGATTCTCTATTCCTCTATGATCTAGTACGGTTGTAGTGTGTGCATGCCACTGATTTGCTGTAATTACATTCTGTTTTAGTTAGTAGTTATAGCTGCTTGACTAGTTAGTTAGTCCTCAGATGTGACCATTACCCACTATCAGTGGGTTCTCTTGTATTCTGTAAGACAAATTTTAATCATTCGATACAGTAACAGAAGTATTTTTTTTCTTTTTACTTTTCTCTGCCTTTCGTTATTCTTCACTCTATAAATAGTACAGACTCAATTACTACAATGAATTACAGCTTCAGATCGATTATAATTTGAAATTAAATACAGACAACTGGTAACTTCCTCATTTATAAAAAAATATATATGTAATATGAAACTAATGACAGAAATACACCCTAGGCCATGGAATACTACTGCCATTCAGACTGCTGCCAATCTAGTTTTTACAAAGTGCACTATCAATATTGAGGTGAATCGTTGTTCTATTTGGAAGGCCTTTGAGAATCATAATATCTCTCTACTTGGTATCACCTCACAACTTGAGCTTGTTGATATATTCACTAAGAAAATTCCTTGTTTTCATCATCAATTTCTCACTAGAAAATTGATGCTTCTTCATCAGCAACATCAATTTAAGGAGGCAGTGTGTCAATAAGGGAATATGTGATTATTAGTTTCCTAGTATATTTTGAATAAATTAGTAAGCTACTAATTGTATATACTTTATAATTAGAGTTAAAATTAAGAAGAAACTGATAGTCTCATTGTGTCATTAATTGTAGTAATTGAGTATGTAATAATTTATGGAGGAATAGAGAATCCAAGAAGGCATCAAGCCAGAAGCCTAGAATTACTTCTGATCATATGAACAGGGATTAACTGGAGATTTTTCATGAACAATAATAGGAACAGAAGAAAAGAATCCATTCCATTGATCTAAAGGGAAAAAAAAAACTTGGTTGTTCTTACTTGAATATGAATATTTGTAATTTCCAATGAAAAGGTTTAAGTAACTACTTTTATACATGAGAAACATAATCTAAATAGGCATGTAATCCTATCATAATCCCAAGGAATACAAACAAATCAAATATCACATGAATATATCTTGTCACGTCACATGTGTAAGTTATATGAGGACTTAGTAGAGACTTAATAAAGATATTAGCAAGTTGATCCTAGAATTGACAAAAGAAGTTTTGATGACTCCAAAGAGAATCTTTGCCCTATTGAAATGACAGTCAACTTCTATATGATTTGCCCTCTCATGAAAAACAAGGTGAGAGGTGTCACACTCTAAAATCATTTTGGGGCTTATCTTTATCCTATGTGGAACTTGGTTTTTTTTCAATACACCACCTCAAGCCCTTCGCTATTGAGCTTGGTGTGTGTGTGGATATATATATGGTGGGTGGCCTAAATCAATAGGCTTTGATACCAACTTGAATATGAATATTTATAATTCTCAATGAAAATGTTTAAGCAACTATTTATAGATAAGAGACATAATCTAAATAGGAATGCAATCCTATCAAAATCCCAAAGGATACAAACAAATCATATTACAATAAACATCAATATCACAACATTCTTATTGAAAATGGATGAAAGAAATCTTGGTCAAGTTATATCGTAAATTCGTCTTCCTAGAAAACCAACAGATTACAGAATACAAATTATCTAAGAAGTATTCTGCAACTCAATTAATTGGAATTTCCTCTCCGGTTTGTTCACGTGTTGTCAACATGACCTAGATGACTAGTACAGCCCAAGTTTATCTTAATAGGCTATCTTTGTTTTGGTCAACTCTATTGTTTCTTAAAGTATCTTGCTAAGCATGCATTTTCTCAACAGCATCAGAACCAAAACTATCTATACTAATTGAATCATTCCATAATCAATTTTTATCTCCTGAAACTTGTAGCAGTAATTGAGAATTTGTGTATCAATGGCCATCGAAGATATCCTAGCCTCTACACAAGTCTAATGCCACTATTGCTTCAAGTCTATCCTAAAACAAGAAAATAAAATAATTCACCAAAATTTTCGAGGGAACAGAAATTCAAGTTGTATTGGATTGGAAGGGGCGCAGAAAGTAATTATTTAAATAGCCATAACTAGATTGATAAAATATCACAAGATATGAAGCAATATATGGGAACTAATAAGATGAGTCTGTAAATAGTAGTAGTTACTAGTTAAAGTATATTAATAACTTACCCCCTCTTAAACCACCGTAAATAAAAATCAGGTCACCAACAGCAGCAGCAGCATGCCTACAACGTCGAGTCAACTCAACGGCTGCGTCTCCACCAGCTGCATCAGCACTGTATCTACCAGTTCTTGGAGTGGTAACAACAGATTTTGTATCGCACCAAACACCAGCAGCAGTGTCCAATACTACAAACGAAAAAGAAAAAAAAAGGAAGATATACAACACCATTTGGAATATCACTAAATATTGCAAAAGAATTTAGTAATGTAACCAAAAGAATTTAGTAAAAACTTAACTTCTTATACTATATTATAGAATAGAAAAGCATTTGCATTTCAAAATTTGGAAACTATATATGCACATATCAAGAGTGGGGCAAGAAGATAGTGTTGGGGGATAAAAACAAGATATTTTTCAATTTTTGCATGCAATCCATATGGTACTTGGAGCACCTATCAACAAAAAATATTAAGCAACCCTAATTGAGTTACCTGCAACACTTGATGAATCTTCAACCATCCGTCCTCCACCTAGAGCCCCACCAGACACATGCAGCCTTGCATTAACAAATACCTAGAATCATTAAATTAAGCATGATCCTTGGACGTATAGCCAACTAAAAGAAAATGAGAAAAAAATAAAAGGAACTGAATCCAACCGCTGCATGCTGATATCTTGGAGATGGTGAGACACCAGGAGCAATTGCCCATTCCCAACGACCATCTCTATGCTTAGCAAGTCCATATGCACTAGCCAAGGGCTGCAATATAAGTGGTAAAATGATATTTCCAGTAATGCTTAGGAGAAAACGCTATACAAATAACCACACAAAAACTGTCAACAGAAGTTAAACAGGTTTTTTTAATTAGAGTTTGTTTGAGTAAGAACAAGCCTTAAAATGGAAAAAAGATATTGATAAGAGCAACTGCCCGTAGACATCTTAACTAAACCTAAAATGATCACTACTACGAATGCCACCAATAAATTTTCCTGCTGGAGCAATTTGACCAAGCTGATAGACCTTCAAAATGAAAATCTTCCAATTATTTGTTCTTGGCTCGTCGCTACAACTCAGACCAGGATATCTCAAGGGAGTTGCCTTCTCTGATTTGCAAAGAGATATAATTGTTAAGTTGCACTCTTAGTTTCCTGGAATGTTCTGTTTTACTAGTTTTCTTTTCCAACGCTTAATACTCTCAGAATTTGGGCTAGGACTAACTCAACCCAAAAACTAGCTCACGAGGTGGGGATTGCCAGAACTTTATAACAGTAACAACTGCTTTGTCATGTATCTAGTTGATGTGGCATCTCAAGTCTCAACACTCCATTTCACGCTCAAGACTGAACACATCTAAAAGATGGAAAAATGCAAGTGATCCAATAAAAACACCCCACCTATTTAGAGGACTAGACATCTAAAGTGTGGAAGAGAATGAGGGGCTCAAGAACAGATCTAGAATAATCTCCAAAAGTTAGGTAGTCAAGAGCTAGCACGAGAAGTGAGGATAAGGCACAAATTACAAGAATCCTCAGAAAATCAAATAAACTTAACGGAAAAAAAACTTACAACACTATTGGCATCCCTTCCTCCACAAAGCAGAAGAAGCCCATCAGAGCGTGCACTGGCAGTTGCATACCTAGTACAACAAATGGAAAATTTGGCAAATCAACCCCCACATAATGGTAAGTTTTACAAAAAGATTAGCCGCTTCATAAATAAGGAAACGTGGGTCTACACTACAGTTATTTTGTTTACACCTTCAGAGGTGGTAAAAAAACATCGCATTGGCAAAAACAGTGATAATAAGACAAATTCATTGCATTAAAGTATTAATGCTAAATAGAAGGTCTCATTAAGGTGAGTTTCAATTCAAACTTACTCAAGTCTGCAGTCTAACACTTTCAAGTTCTCAACCAGAAAGACAATGAAAAAAACTAAAGGGTGTCTATCCTAAAATTATAATAATGCTCATACAAAAATAAAGTAATCAAAAAATAATATACCAGTTCAATTTTTAAAAATTATGTTTGAAAAAGAGCTGAGAGAAAAAAATGAGGATTTGAGAAAATAGTTTATAAAATATAAATATGAAACAAAGTTAACAACTAAATTTAACCCATAAAAACATGGCAGTTTAATCAATTAAGATTTCTACACAAATCTAACTGGAATTTTATGTTTGCAGAATCTAATACAATAGGTCAAAGGCTAAAAAGTAAACAAACACTATATTGTGTTCTTAAGAATTTGAAATTGATATGTACACAATGATGTCAAAAGATCAGTATAGAAAGGCAGAATTTAAGGAGATCAAAGCATACATGCATGGAGGTGGGCCCTCTCCTTCTGGCTCTAACTTGCGCCATTCATATGGCTTGGCAGCTGTGTCCAAGGCCCATACATCAGCCAAAGGTCTCTTTCCTGGGAAGAAAAGATGAAAGATGCGAAGCATCCATTAAGTTTTCAGAGACACAAACAAGGCAAAAAATAAATTGGGATAGCATCGAGAAGTTACCAACTTACCATCATTGCCTCCAATTGCCATAAGATACCTCTGGCCCACCAAAGCCATTACATGTCCATAACGAGATCCTGGTCCGGGGCCTTGAACAGACACTCTACATAAAATTCAGTATCTTAGATTATATAAATGTCCTTGAAAACATTAAGCCATCGATGGAAAAGACAACACAGGTTATGTGTCTAACCTATGCCATCGGGGCCATTGCTGAGTGAGATCAAGAACATGAAGGTCTTCTGCCGACAAACCAGCAGGACCAATGCCACCCTAGGTAACAAGGTAATATTCCACAAATAATTAATTTAATCATTTAAAGAAAGGAAATAAATCCACCAACATTAAGATAACCTCTGAGATATCCCCTCCGTGATACCTGAATTACCACCATGGTTCCCACGGCAGTTGCCACATGGGCAGCCCTTGGAGTTGGAGGTTCTCCAAAGGGAGTTAGCCTGCATTATGTTTCCCGTATAAGCACTAAAGCCAAACATGTAAGGCTGTAAAAGTATTGATTATGGCTAAAAAAGGTGGGGAAGAATAACCTAGTTCTAAACTCACCTAGACCATTTATTAGTCAAGACATCATAACAGTGGACATCAGCTGTAGCACCAGCTAAACCTGCAGCTCAAATGGTATGTTATCAGTAATCATAAATTTCAACTATAAACACTTATTCCTCAATTACTATAGCTATATAATGCATGTGATTTTGTTAACAAGAGAAGCTCCTTTCGTTTGATTGATATTGACTCTTCTTCCAAAAAAAATGTACAAAATCTAGATAGTATTCAACAGGTACTATCACTCCAAGTAAGATATGCAGATGAAGCCAATTTGAAAATAACCAAAAATCAGAATGTTTGCATTGAATCAAGTTGTCAGTATCTAGGGAGTGTTTGGAAAAGTTTATTTGGTGTTTGTGTGGGATTATTTCATAACATAAACACTTTAATTGGAATTTGAAAACACTTGTAACAAAATTTTTGACATATCCATAAAATGTTTTCAGCTTATTTTAAGAAGCCCTCTGAATAGCTTATGAATAAGTTCTTAATTAAACTCCAAACAATAACTTAATGAGTAAGCATTTTATTAAGCTATTTACTTGAGTGTGTCCTTAGTTACTAACAGTAAGTGATGAATAGACTGCCAGAGAGACTGTTCTAATGATGACCTTGCGTTATGAGGATGAGAACAAAAAACATGTGGGACTCCTAATGAACAGAAACATGATGTTCTTAGATACAGAGGGTAAGGAAGCAATGACTTGCTATAGTTTTTAAAAGATGCTACATATTTTCAACATCGCTTGGGTCCCTTGATCACTTGTTCGGGGTTTTGATCCTTGGCTGGTAGTATAGAAAAACATATGTTCGGAGAGGTCAGCCCATTGCATGGGCCTCAGTTATCTCAAGAGATTAGTCTCCACAATACTGCGAAAGGGATACCTTGGTTTACCAAAAAAAATTAATACTATTTTCACAGCATAAACTATAACCATTATTTATAATGTAAAATATGGGATCCCTAGAGTTCCTATACCACCAAACCAAAGATGACAAATTGTCAACCGGAAATTTGTATGTGAAAATGAATACCAGTCCACTCCAACCTCATTTATTGCTACATTCTAGGACCTTTTCCTACAAGATTTATCTAGGACCTCATTTATTGCTAAATTTATGATCATTCTAGGACCTTTTCCTATAAGATTTATCTAGGACCTCATTTATTGCTAAATTTATGATCATTCTAGGACCTTTTGCTACATTCAATGTTTTATATTCGAGGGGTCATGATTTCAGTCATTCAAAACAGCCACCCCTTCCCGCCAATTATTCATAATTAAAGTCAAGTGTAGCAAAAGGGAAATTTGGTCTCTGCATTATATGCTTCAAACCTAAAGGTCTCTTCTACAAAAGTTGATTAGAGATGCAAAAGCATTGTAAGACCTTCAATCTAAGAGGGCGTAAGCTGCTAGAAGAATTACTTCCAGACAAACTCCTTTGGATGAATGCAAATGAACATAATAAAGCGGAAAGAAAGCTAATGCAATTAACTCCATTGTCATGCTATGGCTGTCTTAAGTTAAACTATCCAATAAAAGAATGATCATAAATACCATGTCCACTCATTTGTGTTCAAATCTGCCCTAACCATCCAAGTTAACTATTACATAGCTTTGCAATAAACAAAGCCAGATTTTATACCAAATGAAGTTCAGAAGCACCAAAGATTGAAAGACACCATGAAAATAAGCCCTAACTACCACCAAGCCATTGCCATAGATGCATTTCCATACCATTAAACATCAAAGAAATTAGGGTTCTTTCCATTCAAACATCCCTAGTAACTAATACCTAGACATTAGTACCAAACAAAATAATAACTAGACGCTAACAGAAAAAACAAATCAACATGCCAAACTACGATTCAATTCAACTTTAAAATACCAATTATGCAACTTTAAAATACCAATTATGCAAGGCTTAAAGTTATAAAACTAACATTAACCAAAATAATATAATTTCATAATTAAATACATACGTATTCCAGCATTTCCAGCTGACGAAGGAGTCCCTGAAGCCGCAGAATTTCCTTCAAGGGCAGTAGCACCACCAAACAAAATCAGCCTCGGACCAATATACCCAGGCGTCCCCTCCTCTCCAACAGCTGCCACCGCCGTCAACGTGTGTCCACACCTCGGCCCCGGTCCGTCCTCTTTCTTCTCTAGAATTGCATCCACCACAGTATAATTCGGCGCTAGCCTCGGCCCAACCACCGGACTCTGCTGCACATCATTAGCCCCTTGCTGCTGCTGTTGCTGCATCTCTGCCGGAGATCCGCCGCCAGACGACGGCGGTTCCGGAAGCTGCTCTTCTTTTACTACAACCAGCGCCGGAGCAGAAATAGTCTGCTTCTGCACAACAGGATCGTGATCGGCCGCTTGAACCATCGAGGAATCAACATCCATTCCTTCAACCCTAAGTTTCAAGCAATTTCGTTAAGATCGAAGCTAGAATTGGCGCACAATCGCATTACGAATTCGCTGAATTCAAAATCGATTTTCTCGATAACACGCGCAACGAACGAATTCAAATGTTCGCGACGCAATTGAAAAAATCTTAGCTCAGATCGTTGATTCTTCAATTTGGAGAAAACGAAAATCAAACACTCGCGAATTTTTCAACAAGTATATAGGGGAGAGAAAATAGTTATTAGGTTTTTTTCGGTGTTTAGAATTGAAACCTGAAAAGAACTGAAAATAAAAAAGAAACAGGAACGAAAACGAAGACAATCACAAAGCCACAACTACAAAGCGAAAAAATAAAATAAAAAATTTCAGTCAAAAAATAAATAAATACATAATCTATAACAATAAATATAATTCTCTAAAAAAAATGCAATCACTTTCTCGGTCATGTCTTTTTCTATCTTTGTGAAAAGAAGGTGTCGTGTCTTTCTCTCTCTAGATTTAAATTTTACCTTTTTATTGTGGAAAAGAAATGTTTTTTTTAAATATATTATATTTTTTTTCTCTTTAGAAAAAAATAGAATATTAAATCGAAAAACAAAATAGAAGTGAATAGCGACTAAAATCAACAAATTGGAATTATAGGTGGTGAAATGAATTATGTCCGTTAGACACGATTGTTTTGTCTGCATTTTAGTGGCGACAGGTCAAGGAATTATTATACCTTCAATATCTAATGTGTCAGTTCCACGCCACCATATTTCTTTTATGGACTTTTGCGAACACGAGCATTTACATAAATTTTTACATTTTAAGACTTAAAATGTGTAGTGCCTACAGATTTTACCTGTCTGCCCTCACTTTTTACCAAGTGGACCTAGATTTTAAATTTGTATTCTCAACTATGATCGCCATGTCCCGTCCCATTTTTTCGCAGGCTTTTGCATAACGGGACGGACATGCTCGTTTGCCACGATGTGGACGAAGGAAGTGGTGATGACAACCGCAAACGAGAATGGTGCAAACATTTGTTACTGCATTAATTATCAATTGAATATAACTTAAACTATTTTAATTTAGAGTTTGTGTTATTATTGAGCAAATATATTACACGTAGAGATGGGAATAGATCAGGCCAACTAATAGGAGTCTACGGCCTAGCCAACATAGGTTCAGGTCAGGTCATACTTTTTCTTAAATAGAAAAGGCCTAGGCTTTTTTATAAGCTTATTTAGTTAAAGATGATAGACCGCAGGCTGTAAGAAAGACCTTTTAAGCCTATCAGACCAACTTATTTATAAAAAAAATTAAAAATTTATTATTATTATTATTATATTGTATTTTGCACTTTGAATTAAAACACGAAAATAAAGCATAGTTATTTTAAACAACTTATAAAAATAAGTTGAAAAAACATTATAAACAATATCATAAGTTGTTGTCATAAGTTTTTTTTTTCCATAAGTTTTCTCCAACAAATAGTATCATCTAACTTATGCTAATATGTAAACTTGAATAAGACAATAAAAATACATTTAGTCTCAACGATCTTTTAATTTGTTAGTCTATTTAACATTAGTTGAATTTCTTATATACAAATGTTCAAATGAAATAGACTTTTAAATTAGACTAGTAGGTCAATCAAGTCTTCGAAAAGGTCAGGTTTAGGCCTAAAAATAAGCCTATGATAGGCTACAAACCAGGATTAGGCTTTGAATTTTTTAGCAGACCAGACTCAGACTTGGCAAAACCTAATTTGACTCAGCCTATTTCCACCCCTATCGACCCAACCTATTTCCACCCCTAAACCCTAAAATAAAAATACCGAATAACATACATATAAATGAAAAAATTAGGATTAAATGTATTTATTCAAAAATAAAAAATTTTCTCTAAAAAAACACTTTTAATCTTCATATAATAATCAAAACTAATTTAGTTTGATATACATAAATTAAATTTTAATAACAAAATAGAACTCGTGATAGATATTAATTTTATAATTCTATAGATTTAGGTTAAAATACTTTTTTTCTTATATTTTGATTTTAAGATTTGTATTGATCTTCTAACAGAAATAAGTTTCATATTAGTGTTTTAATTTTATTAAGTTGTATCAATTTCATCATTTTCATCCATTAAACTCAAACGTTGTTATTTTCTGTTTACATAGTTGATGTGTTAGTAACTTAAATCTCACTTCATGGTTTTCCCATATTTAACAAGATTATGGTTTAATGAAACTCATTTTCTTCTCTAAAATCAATCTTCCTCCCCTAAAACTAGGGTTCATCATAATAACATAGTATGTCATGTGAACTTCATCTTCGTTTTTCCTTCAGAAATTATTGATAAATGGTAGAGGTTGGGATTTAAATAAGAATCCTTAGGGGTCTCAGAGTTCCAAACCACAATGGACATCAAAGTGTTGGTTTGGAATCTCATTATACTTTAAAGAGCCATCACTCTTGTGAACTTTGAAAAACTATTATGCGAATGTCCACATTTTAGGGTAAAAATATTATTCTATTAGTTAAGGACATCAAAATTGAAAAGATCTTGTTCCAAGTAAAGGAATATAATAGAATATGAACTTTGTGAAACTTGCCCTAGAGAGGTACAAACAATTTATGATAATGATCATAAGGATGCTTTGATGCGTAGGCTTGTGTAATATGGGCTTTTGCCCTCCTTGAGTACGGAAAAAAAAAGTTTTTTTGTTAAACTTTAGGGAATTTCTTATCTCACCCTATGGAAAACCCGATATGCCCCTCAAATTCCAAAGATACATCTCCGAACGCATTTTATCTTAAGTCAAAATATTAATTAATTCAGAGATGGATCTCCCTAATATTTCAAAACACCCCATAATGGCCCATTTTACACGTTTATTATTCCGGAGATGCGTCTTCGTTTAGGATTTATGGAGATGCATCTCTTTAATCTATTAGAACAATGCAAATTTAGTAAGTTTTATGGTTATTCGGATGAAAATGACAATTTATAAATGTTAAGGACCATGTTATGTGATGAACATTAAACCATACAATCGATATGCAAAAAATAAAATATATAAATCCAGATGGTCAAAATAATTCATCAACCGATACACAATGAAGTCGAAATACACAATATAGTCAAAATAAAATACAAACAATAATAAATCCAAATTATAAATACAAACAGTAATATAGTTGTGTAATTTGTATCTTTTGTTATCTTGTTATGTACCTGGTGGATGATATTAGTATTTTAATCTAGTGTATTATGTTACTTATGTAACTTATGGTTTTTTTTATAAACGCTTATATAATTGGTGTTGTTGAGATTAAAACATGTATTATGTTGTTCTCTATCACTAAATGTACAATAATAACAATAGCATGATCAAATTCATAATAGATAATCCAAAATACATATCATCCAAAAGTGATCGATATAAAACATGTAAATAACTCAAATATCAAACACTTAAACGTGTTACATTCTTCTTCTGAGTTTTTGTTGGTGATGCACTTTGCTAGGTTGATGTTGGTATTGCACTTTGTTAAGTTGTTGTTGGTGTTGCTTCATTGTGTTAATTTATTGTTTTTCTTATGTATAGTTTGCACTCTCCATGTGTTAGATTGCTCTAGTTATGTTGTGGGTGCACCATGTGTTCCTTTTTCATCTATATTATTTGCTTATGTATGTGTATTTTTTACAGCTAGACTATGGGTATGAGTTTATAAATATTTTTCACCTAAAGTTTAGACTTATGATTGAGATTATGGTGGTGCAACCTTAGATCTTGTTTTATTATGACTAATATTTTTACACTTATTGCGCTTAATTTGAAAATTCTCTGTTATACTCTTACTATTATCATCACCAATCTCACATTGTTTCATTTTTTTGTCTTCCTAACATTTTTCATAATTGGTGGTGAATCCACATTAGAGTATGGGATTTTGATCCACAAAATTCCACCACTGATAGACAACAAGATATCGTAACTTCTTATAGAATACAAGAATGTAATCTTCCACTTTGCAGTTTCTACTTTTCATTGCAGGAATGACATGACAACAAGGTAGGCATGTATGAATTTATTTTTTGCATGAACATTTCATTATTTATAAGTTGACACTAAATTTGTTTCCAATAAATCCATGTGCCTAACATCAAAGATATTCTCATTAAACATCCTACAAAGTAGGTAATAATACAACCAGACAACCTTTTCATAACTTAATATACAAGAAAATTAACATAGTTAGAAAACGCCCAATACCTTACTCTTCATATTCCAGTAAAGTAGTCAATTCTCTCAATCCCCTTTTTCAATATTGGGTAAAATGTCATCATTTGTTTAGTTTAAAAATTTAACTCTATTTAGAATTCTCATTTATATAATAAAAATTATAATTTCGTATAACATTTTAACTATTGGCTTACATCTATCATCAACAATGACATTATTAAAAGTTTTGACATGTATTTAGTAGAGTATCACATTTTAAATTTGATTTGAATTTCAATTTACTCCTTAAATTTGGAGGAGTGTTGATCATATACTTGAATGCTTAATTTTTAACACAACTCCTTTCTTTCATCTCCTTTCTCATGCTTATGGATAAGTAGTTTTAGAATTTTAGTTGACTTTCAAACTTATTTATTTCTTAGATGTCTTTTCCTAAAATAGTTGTACAAGTGTATCACACAAATATTTGGCCAACCCTTTGAATTAGCTTGTAGGAAATAAATTTCTCATCAAATAAGTAATGATTAAATTTCTAGTAAAATAAATAATGAATAAATTAACAATAAATATGTACACTAAATATTTTTGTTGATCATAAATAATATGTATGTATATATGTATGAATATTAACTCCTCACTTCAATATCATCAATTAGGATTTTAGGAAACCATGGCCAGTTGTCTTTTGTTTCTCCTTCAACCACTACAAAGGCAATTGGTAACATCAGATCATTTAGATCTCTTCATATAACAACAA